AGACAATTGGAAAAATGTTGTTGTTGCCATCTTGTGCAACTGCCATCAGTAGAGTGCCTTTGTATTTTCCATACAACCAAGTCCCATCAATTTGAATAATAGGTTTGCATGACGCAAACCCTGTGATGCAAGGTTAAAAATCCCAGAACACTCGACTGAGTATTCCATTTCCGGTGACTTGAGTACCATCTGGGGCGTACATCGGTAGTGTTTCCATAATATAAATAGTACCCGGAGAAATTGGCTTTCCTGTTTAAACAAAATCGGATGTTCTCAATGTCTCTAAACAAAAACCCAGAGGTGGGACAAATGTACGTCTCACTATTGAAATATGCACTGATCACATATTATGGTGCAAAGACCATTGTGTTTGAAGCATTAAGTGTTTGAGTGTTTGAGTCTTTGAGTTGATTGTTTGAATTTTTGAATGTTTGAGTGTTTGAGTGATTGAGTGTAGAAGTGTCTTTATAAATGTAGGATTAAATAGGTTGTACTGAATTTGAATAAAACAACAGTAAGCAACCTCTAATTCGCCAACTGAGATGTCCAATCATATTACATGCAAGCAAAGATTCCTTTCCCAAGGCTGTCAAGTAGCCTGCACCTACACTGCAACCCATGCCACCTCTAATTCGCCAACTGGGATGGCGACACCTTTCAATTTTGTACTCATTCGTCAAGTCAAATGGCGCCTCCCTACATGTCCAATCGTATTACATGCAAGCAAATATTCCTTCCCCAAGGCTGTCAAGTAGCCTGCACCTACACTGCAACCCATGCCACCTCTAATTCTCCAACTGGGATGGAGACACCTTTCAATTTTGTACTCATTTGTGAAGTCAAATGGCGCCTCCCTACATGTCCAATTGTATTACATGCAAGCAGATATTCCTTCCCCAAGGCTGTCAAGTAGCCTGCACCTACACTGCAACTCATGCCACCTATAATTCGCCAATTGGGATGACGACACCTTTCAATTTTGTACTCATTCTCCAAGTCAACTGGCGCCTCCCTACATGTCCAATCGTATTACATGCAAGCAGAGATTCCTTCCCCAAGGATGTCAAGTAGCCTGCACCTACACTACAACCCATGCCACCTCTAATTCGCCAACTGGGATGGCAACACCTTTCAATTTTGTACTTATTCGCCAAGTCAAATGGCGCCTCCCTACATGTCCAATCGTATTATATGCATGCAGAGTTTGCTTCCCCAAGGCTGCCACCTAGCCTGCACCTACACTGCAAGAGTGACACTTATCATGCATGCATGCACCCACCACCCACCTCATTTATTCACTTCATGATTAAATTTTACCTATAAATACAGAGCCTCACATACTTGTTTTACATCAACAATCATCTCACTCTCTTCTACAAACTCTTTCATTATCTCATACAATTTCAGCTATGGCTCTTCTCACAATGGGTGATTCTCACAGAGGCACAAGGGACAACATTGCAGCGTTTGTAAGTTTTTATAAATTCTCAAATCTTCTTGTATACTTATAAATTTTTTTATAATATTATTAATGATTTATACATCTTATGGACTCTTACACTTTTTACAATTTGAATTTAGGATACTAAAAGATTCAGAATTAGGTCACACAACTACATTGCTCCCAACTCGTTGATCATGCCATATCTCGAATATGCATGTTTTGGAAATGTTATAAAGATCTCTAACTACACGATAGATTCAAAGTTCATACTTGCAATGTTGGAAAGGTGGAGACCTGAGACACACACATTTTATCTACCAATAGGTGAATGTACCGTCACACTAGAGGACATGTACATATTATTGGGTCTCCCTGTCGACGGTAAGGCGGTTAATAGTTCGGTTCAACAGCCCAATTCTCCGTGCGAGGAATTGTTGGACAAGGATATGGTTGAAGGTGGCGGCGCTAGAGGCCATGGTATACTACTTACTGAACTCAAAAATAATTATGTGACTCTGGAGTTGAATGAAAATTCCTCTGAGCTAGCTAAAGTAATAAAAGCTAGAAATTATATAATGATACTTTTTGGAACCTTTTAATTTCCCGAAAGTACGGGGAATAGTGTAAATTTCATGTATTTAAATTTACTTAGAAACTTTGAAAAAACTAGAAAGTATAGTTACGGTTCTACTGTTTTAGCCCATCTATACAGTTCCTTGTGTAAAAATGCAACCGAGGAAAAATATACTTTTTATGGATGCGCTTTCTTACTTCAAGCCTGAGGTTGGTGGAGAATGAAGTCCCTAAACCCCGTCAACAATAACACATTCATTTTCCCATACGCAACAAAGTAAGTGAATAAATAATATCATTTATTATTCACCTGTTCACTAAATATATGATAAAAATAAACTATTTTACAATTCCTTTAGGTACTACGTGAAAGGTATGGATTACGACAAGAATCCAAGATCCAATGTCGCTCTGTATCGCAATCTATTGGATCACCTTGGCCCAGATGATGTATGTCATACCTTTGAACTTTTCTACCTTTAAATTATTTATTTACTACGTTTTCATTAAGCTGATTTAATTTTATCCACAGTTTATCTGGAGACTATATATGGGTTTGGACCATGAACTAAACTCCGAGGATGCAACAGTTTGGAGCGCAAAGACTGTAATCATACGGTTCAACATTGTGGAGATGCACCACAGCGGCTGTGTCAAGATGAAGTTTGGAATGCATTAAGAGATACCCTGCGATCCAACTTGTTTGTCCCTGTGGCATCTCAAAAGGGTCGACGCCCAATGGGGTCTTACCAACTGGGAAGATTTTGCTCCAGAATGGTGTAAGATGTGGTAGAGGCGTCACCGACATGTCTTGCAATTCCCATTTTTCCTCAACCATGGTAATATGCGACACACGGATCAATATTTAGCTTAGTACAGATCGGTTAGTAACCCAGAAATACACGTGTCTCATCCAAGATATTTGGTTGATCCACGAATACAATGGGCACAATCCTCATTTCCCCAACAACAAACACAACACACATCAACCTTCCACCAACCTCCCCGGCGAAACAGATCCATAACCACCCAACCACAATCACCACCACAATATGAATACACCCACATACCCCACAACCAACCACAATCACCACCTCAATACCAATACCACCATATGCCTCACATCCAACCACAATTTCAATCACAATATCAATACACCGCATGCCCACCCACAATTCCAGTCTTCTCCATATCTCAATATGGGCCCCTCAACATCTAACCTTAGTCCTGATATGGGATTTTCCGAAGAATATGATCCAACCAACCCAACTTACCATCAACCACCACATCACTAAAGCACCCAACATTCCCAATACCAAACACCCCAGGATTCATTTCCTTTCTACCCCTCTTACTCAGATAACCAGTGCTATAGGCCAACCATGGAACTCCACCCACCACCGAGACGATCAAACTTTGAGGGTATGGATAAACGAATGTACCAAAGCGGGTCTTCTAGATATGGAGATCTGACCGATTTCATGGATCTGGAACGCATTGACTTCGCTGGGCCATCGAACCTACCACAACAGGAAACACGATGAAACCCACCATGGGACAAGCGAGGACGGGGATGCGGAACCGCGGGTCGTTACCGGGTTCTGGGAGACCACTAATTATTTTGTAATTTTTTTATGTAATCGTTTTGTGTAAGCGTTTTGTGTAAATAAAAAGTCGAATTTTCTTGATCCTATATCGTTTACGTAATGTCTCGCATTTAACATAAAAAAACGAAAAAAGTTGGCCCCCCCTTTGCACTAAGGCGCCATCTCACTTGGCTTAGGACACACTTTTAACATCTAGACGCCAAGTGAGATGGCGCCTCCCCTTTAAATTAAGGTGTATGCGTCAATTGAGATGACTTCTCCTTTGTGGGGTTTTCTGAAACATGATTATTTGCGTAATTTACTCCAAAACATGGTTATTTCCGTTTTTTTTTCAAAACCTAATTATTACAAAAAAAATTCTAATTTTATAAATATAAAAAATTATATTTTAACCACACTCCCTTCCCCTCCATTCTCCTCTAAAAATCTCAATTTTGAAGAACAGAAAATCACTCTATCAAAGATTCTGATCTCCTCCTTTTACTCTCTCATCCGCTCCTAAAATATTAAATCAAACATTTAAAATATTTTCTCTTCTCCTCTCCCTTCCTTTTCAAACCTCCAACATACCTTTAAATTAATTTGTAACTATTCCTAACCAACTTGTAAATACACTTAACAATATTTAATAAATTTTAAAAGTAACTTGAATATATTTTAATTAATGCAAATTGAATAAGAAAATTAAGGTTAAAAATCAATTACATAAATAAAATTACAAAACTTTAGTTTTAAATTAGATTCAATTCTAAAGTCTAACAATTTTACTCGAAGATATACAAATATATAAAAATCAGTTTTATACTTTTAGAATCAATTCCATCTAAAAATAGAACTAAAATTCATTGCTAAATTATAATTTATCATTGTTAAAAAATCCAAAGATATCATAAGGAACACACAAAAACACCTAACTATACATCACATCTCTATCCAAAAACCATCTCATAATATAATAATATTGGATTTTATAACAAAATGAAATATGAGAATTCCAACTTTAACTCTTTATTAGACTTCTATGTTTTACATAGCCATATCACAAAGTTCTTAAACTCTCAAAGAGAATATGAGCAGCAATGGTAGAGAAAGAAAAAGACAATATATATTATATAATCAAGTATATTTCTGTCACACTAAGATGACAAACTTTGATGCTAATGTAGATTGTTCAACAAGCTATCAAATTTCTTACATATTCCATTTCCAAATTCGACACAAAGTAACATTATAACTTGATACCATATACTAATCACCAATCACAAAGAATAGAATAAATCTAAGAATACATACCAAAAAGAATAAACTTTTTCTACTATCTCTATCTCCATTCATATTCCAAACGGTCCCAAAAACAAAACACATCAAAAACAAACATGGGTTGTTGTTTTCGTGGCTCCAAAACTCTTCCACCAATGGAAAAAAACACCACCATGATAATACCAAAAAAGAGTACTCTCAGACAAGAAACCCTAATACAAATTCCAGGATGTAGGGTTTATCTAATGGATGAAGGAGAAGCACATGAACTTACTCAAGGAAAATTCATGATCATCAAAATATTCGACGACAACGTTTCGTTAGCAACAATTATTAAAATAGGAAACAATGTTCAGTTTCCTTTAACAAAAGATGAACCAGTAGTGAAAGTTGATTCTCTTCATTATCTATTTTCATTGGCTGTGAAAGATTGTGTTGAGCCTCTTAGCTATGGTGTAACTTTTCCACAAGAGTTTCATGGAAGCATGGCTTTGGTTGATACTTTTCTTAAGGAACACTCTTGCTTTTCTGATTTGAAGTTGAGTAAGAAGAAGAGTGATCTTGATTGGGAAGAGTTTGCTCCATGTGTTGAAGATTATAATCATTTTCTTGCTAAGGCTATTGCTGGTGGAACTGGTCAGATTGTTAAGGGTATCTTCATGTGTAGTAATGCTTACACCAATCAGGTTTGGTTAAGCAGTTGCATAAACACTTATTATATAAGTGCTTATGTGTAAGTTGTTTCTTAATAATACTTCCTTTGGATAATCTAAAAGTTGTTTTGAAATGATCAGGTCCAAAAAGGAGGACAAACTATCTTAAATAATGCTTCAGATAAGAAAAATGATGGCATGGTTAGAGAAAGTATGAACAACAAAACTTCTGTTGCCACAAAGAACAGAATGAATGAAAATCTCATACGGTATTCAAAATTTGATATACACGTAAATATTTTATTACTGTCAATCAATCATAATCGTTTATCATTAAAAATATTTGACTTTATTCATATCTATCTTAAATATCAAACAAATAATGGTTGGTAACATGACCGTTTTTGAAGGCATATAAGATTGACTACCACAGAGGGCCTAGAATTTTGACACAGTTAAACCGTGTATTAATAGGATTTCTATTTATTTTGTCACAGTTAAATTATGGCTAACTTATTCAGGGTTTTCGAAAAACTTAAGACGGCCCTAATTTGTAATTAGTTTTTCAATAATATAGTGTGAGGAAGCTTACAAATATGACAGAAAAGTTATCAAAATCTTTGCTGAATGGTGTTGGAATAGTGAGTGGTTCATTGATGGCTCCTGTGCTTAAATCTCAACCAGGACAGGCATTCCTAAAGATGCTCCCAGGAGAGGTTCTTTTGGCCTCCCTTGATGCAGTCAGTAAGTATGGTTTTAACATTTAGTGTTTTTTGAATTAGACCAGACCGACTGATTCAACCGAAAACTGGTTAGTCTGTCGATTAGTTCAACCATAATTCGCTCGAAGTATATGAGAATTAGATCGATTAGCATCAACTTGATTACTATATTCTCTTTTGCTGCAACAGACAAGGTTTTTGAAGCAGCAGAAGCAGCTGAAAAACAAACTTTTTCTGCTACCTCTCAAGCTGCAACAAGAATGGTTTCTAACAGGTAAAAAGCACTACATTATTAACATAAATTTCAATAGCTTCTTAACACTGTTTTCCATACTATTTCAAATAGCGTTTCCGCTTATAACTTATAACGTCTCATATTTTATTCTAATGTTAATTAAAATTCTGTTTATAAGAATTTATTTGTATCATATAGTTCAAATGTTAATAAGTAAAAGCATGTTTTGGTTATATAGGTATGGGGAAGATGCAGGGGAAGCTACAGAACATGTATTTGCAAGTGCAGGACATGCTGCTAATACTGCATGGAATGTTTCTAAGATAAGAAAAACTATCAATCCAGCTTCTTCAGCAGCCACTCTGAGAAACTCTGCCAGAAATAGATATATTGGATATTAATATGCAATCATGTTGTTTTGCATTTGAAAAAAATGAAGGCGTGGATTTTGTTTGCCTTTAGAATTATGTAAGTATTGTTGTGTTTGGTGTGCCTTAAGATGACTTAAGGAAAACTAACTCGATCTTGGTTCCAAATTATCTTAGAGAGCAATGTTGCTTACTCTTTTTTATATTTCAAAATCCATAGCAATACTTATCAATAAACAACTTATTTACTTATTTGCTTGTATAAACTATTTTGTTATGTTATAAGTTGATTTTATAAGTTACTTTGGTAAAATTACACAAATAAGTGAAAATTGTTTTATGACAAATGATAAGTTGTTATGAAAATTGTGTAGTGCAATTCAAATTGACTAGAGGTTTAAATTGTTCTGGCCGCTCACATGATTTACACATTAAAGCTCAATAACAAACACCATAAGGAAAGGTACAAATAACATGTACGACCTCACTCAAACGCGGAGTACGTAATTATAATCTTCCGCCAACTTCCCACCTTCAGATCTAATTGGACGGTGATCTATACGAAACTTTGGATTAAGCGGAAGCAGTTCTAACTATCTTCCATATATAAAGTTTTGCACACACGTGACACACCAAGATTCGCACATTCTAACTACTTCTCATTATCCCATTGACTTGGGCGTTGGAGTAAAAACTTTATAGGTTCATCCCGCATCAACTATTTCTGGTTCTTGAATAGAACAGTGGCGCCGTATATGAGAATTTGACATTTAATTCTCATGAAATTCCACGAGAAACCACCATCTCTTCATTGTTATTCGCCAAACATCAAGTTTTTTTCTTGTTCAAATTTTCAATCTCTTTCCTGTGTGAATCATCGATCAAACTCTTGAAACAATTGAAACTTATAAATCTAATTAATCACACCGCCGATGTGGCCTCCACAATAGTCAATGTTCCCGACCTTATGAAAGAGACTCTGCTTCCTCCTACGATCGAGGATGATTATGTCCTGGTGACTTCTCATTAAGCTCCTACACGACAAAATCCAGTCCCTGTAACAAACTAAGGAACATTCTAAGTTCTCTCGATTTTGCAGTCTTTTCAACAACCACTCTTATGTCAGACCTTAAAGTAACCCTCATCGCAACCGTTGATTCTAAGACAAGATATTCTTCATAGCCTCCAATAGCTGCAAGTAAATCTAGAATGCGATGGGTCAGTGATGTGCTCCATGGTGTCTATAACATGGTGCAACAACAAGATTCATACTTGTTAACTGAAAAAGTACTTAGAATCAAAGAAAATTTACAGCATGTTGGTGCACCACAAAATTCTCCCTCCTAATTTATTGTTGTATGGCTCAGACTTTGTGTTCATCTGTGTGAATTCCATTAGGGAATTAACAGTATCATACATCTGCATTCAATAAAGCATCTGGGTTCAAGGTCAGTGATCATGCAAGTTAGGGTTTCATAGTGGTTGGGGTGTATATAAAAAAAGAATGATTTCGTCTGGTTCTTTCTTAGAATACTAGACTGTGGAATTAGATTTTGGTTCAGAGTTATTGCGGACTTCTTCCTTCATCGGATATTAAGTCCTCAACATAATTTCAACTGAGGGTGTCCGTATTAAGATTATCTTGGTCATATTTCTCTCTGCACTTCAATTCCTATACAAGGGTCCTTAAGTCAAGACGTGATACCAGGATAATGTTATGTATTCACTGAGGTTAAGTCATTTTGTTTTTCTTATTGTTTGTTATACACGTTTGATGGAGATTTGAAATGGAAGACTTATCAAGTTGATTAAGTCTTCTTAAAGTGCAATTATTCCATTATTGGTTTACTTTGAATACAAGGAATAATTATGTCATGGCAAACCATAATTCAATATCCATTCAAGTTTTCTAAACAAGAACTAAGTTTGGTTTTTTTATACAAGGCATATATAATTATGTAAGGTTTGAGATTCAAGTTCAACTTTCATTCCTCATTATTCATCATTTAAATCACTCAATTTTCGAGTTGGTTCCATCAAAATAAATGCTCATTCATGGTCGTTACAAAAGTTCTTAAATCCATGATCATTTACAAGAGTTACATCATGTGGAGAAGATTTGTATCATTATGGATTACATGAACAAAGTCAAAAGGAAATGTTGGCAAAGGAAAGTGATCCTAATTTTATGCAAAGCATCACATTCAAGTTACTTGAAGGTCTTTAAAACATGGTGACACCTTCAAAAGTTTAAGGGATATATGATGCATGATTCGTTCAAGACATCTTTGAGTAAGCTGGCACATCATAAGTATGGAGATAGAAAGTCAATATCAAATTCAAGAAGTGTCTCAATTTTGAACCATTACAAGATCAAGTATTTTACATCATACAAAAATACACCCAAATTTTACTAAGTTATGTCTTAATTCTAATCTCCATCTTCAATATTTTTTCAAGCCTTACAACTCCAAGCTCTTTGCTATCTCCATCTTGCCATGATACAAACCCCCCGTAGCCTAACTAGGAAGCCTGCTTCCCCAACCCAAATGCACATGTCCTTCTCGCCAACTCCATCCATCAATCCTCATCATGAGCATTATTTCACTTATGACTTCACGTATTTTCTATTCTTTATATGCCTAACCTGCATTAGTCAAAATACATCTCAATCCAACTCACACGACTCATAATCAAATAAGAATGCACAACTTGCACAACAATGCTATATCAGAACAAGTTACAAAAAACAATTCACGGTTTAATCAAAATAAGGAAAACTCAGTACATAACATTACAAACATAACAAACATAAAATTATGGGAAATGAATAACGATTATATTAGATATTCAAACATATGGAAACATAATTTAGTACATATGTTGTTCAGAAAGTGCGTAATGTAAAAATGTTACATCAATAACAAAAAAACAAAAGATAACATAGGCTACTGCTACTACGTATTCCTGATCCTCACTCCCTGGGACCTCCTTTGCCGACTATACTGCGCCACACTAGATGTCTCCCTAACCACCCTCTCAACTATGGAAACCACCTCAGAACCACCCATCTCGATGATACCGAAATCCAATTCCTCCTGTCCAAATAGGTGTATTCGCTGACAGACCAACAAGAGATCAGTGGCATGGTCATTATGTTATAACATAGTTTGATTCTACAACCCTTAGTTAGAGTTTTGATGATAACAAACACAAAGAACAAATATGCATTCTAAATTTGTGTTATTTTGTATGCAAAAGTTCTGACCAAAGCAGGATCAGAAGTTAAGCTATAGAAGCTTTCAAGCTGAGGTAATCAGAATCTGCACTGAAGAATGATGATCAGAACCTGCGCTGAAGTGAAGAATACTCTGATTCTGAACAGAAGTTTCATATACCATCAGATCCTCACATATCTGAGTCATCAATGTTCTGAAGCAATTGCAGCATGCAAGATTCTAAGTTCTGAAGCGTTACTATTCAATCAAGACAACATCACATGCAACGACTTCATTCAGACAAGAATCTTCTCAATATGGAAACATCATTAAATGTCCATTATCACGCTTTATGTTGGACAGGATTTCCATGCCTATATAAACAAGCTAAGAGGACAAATTGTTTACGATTTTCCAATACAAATGCAACATATCTCTAAAGTGCTGCAAGCCTACATATTCATATCTACGCTCAAAATTGTGTAAAAAATCACAGTTGTGATACTGTTTTTGTAAGGAAAAACAACTATACACAAAATAATCTTTTATCTTGATTAAGCTAGTTTTCCTTGAGATTAACCGGGTTGTGGTTATACTCAAGAAGACTTTGGCAGTTGTCAAAGTAGTGATTGTAATCAGTTTTTGATTAGTAAATTAAGTCCTCGTTGGAGAGAGGAGAAATCACCTTGACGGGTGGACTGGAGTAGTTTGAGATCAAACGAACCAGGATAAAAATATCGTGTCTACTGTGCTTTTGATTTTATGTTTTCAATTCAACCCCCCTTCTTGTGTTTTTCACTTCTTCAATTGGCATCAGAGTGCCTGGTTCTGAGTTCACACACTTAACCGTGTCAGTACAAGATCCAAGCTTTAGAAAAACACTATGGTGGGACCAAGCCAAAACATCAGCAATGAATATCATGAGGACAAAGACAGAATCAGTGGCAAACCTCCAGTCTTTGATGGAGAAAATTTTGACTACTAGAAAGACAGAACTGAGAGCTTCTTTCTGGCCCATGATGCTGATCTTTGGGACATGGTAATTAATGGATACAGACATCCAGTGGACAAAAGTGGTCAGAAGATAGACATAAAAAGGATGTCTGACCAGCAAAAATGTGATTTCAGAAACCATCATAAAGGCAGAACAATACTTCTCAGTGCTATCTCATACTCAGAATATGAGAAAATATCAAACAGAGAGACAACCAAAAACATGTTTGACTCTCTGAGAATGACGCATGAAGGCAACATACAAGTCAAAGAAACCAAGGCCCTTGCGCTTATTTAGAAATATGAAGCATTCAAGATGGAAGACAGTGAATCCATAGAAGCAATGTTCTCAAGATTCCATATTCTTGTTGTTGGGCTGAAGGTTCTTGACAAAGGATATTCTACTGCTGATCACGTAAAGAAGATCATCAGAAGTCTACCTAAGCAATGGAGGCCAATGGTCACCGCACTTAAGCTAGTTAAATATCTCAACAAGATATCTCTAGAGGAACTTGTCAGCTCCCTCAGAATTCACGAGATAGGGCTAGAAGAAGATGAGCCTCAAAAGCAAGGTAAGACTCTAGCATTAAAATCTAACAAAAAATCTGATTCTAAGGTTTTGCAGGCTATGGAAGAAACCTCTGATGGATCCTCATCAGAAGAAGATGAATTGTCTCTCCTCTCTAGAAGGGTCAATAAACTGTGGAAGCAGAGACAAAGGAAATTAGAAACCCGAGAAGATCATAGAATCAAAATGAACCCTCCTCCAGATACATAAAGTATGAGTCCTCTTCTGGACACAGAAGATCTGAAGGTTCTTTA